CATGGTAAGTTTTTGATCAAAATGTATTTGCTCATCCCCCCTAAAAAATTTATGACGTCACCACAAAATTTTGCCGAATAAGTCCTATCTAAAATGTACAAAATATGATGAGTCTTTTCTTGTGATTTATCATTCCATTCATAGTTTTTGCATATACAGGGTGACCCAAAAAATTAATGAATTGGTAAATGTATTTTATTGATTTAATCAGGAACTCCAGAACCGAATGTTTTGAAATCTTGCAAATGTTTTAAGGTTATAAAGAGCATAATAAATTTTTAGTCAAAATATATTTGGTTATCTTCTACAAAAAACTGATGACGTCAGCTCAAAAGTTTGCCGAATAAATCCTATCTAGAATATACAAAATATGATGAGTCTGTACTTGCAATTTATCATTCCATTCATATTTTTTGAATTTGCATATACCGGGTGACTCAAAAAAAATAATGAAATCTACTGCGAAAAAAAGCATAATAGACATGCAGTCGTCACGTTTCCGACAGCGAGGGAAGTACTGTCTAAACTCTTTAGACCAATTTTTTTCATCTGTTAAAATAACAAAGAAAAAACGTTTGAAAATTTGTGGCTTTGGCGGCTTTGATGCCAAGGCGCCTTAAATCAGTTGGTGTAACATTAATATTCCCAGTCAACATAGTTCAAAATACATCATTAAGAAAATATATACATAGTTTGTTATATCTATTTAAACGAACTATACGAATTTTGCGTTATAAAAGAAGCTTTAGCATTAGCTGTACGTGATGGACAAGATAAATCTGTTCTGGATAACTGGACGGCAATTTTTAAGGCCAATCCCAATTTAAAAATTTCGTTACAATTTTCCAGATCATGTTATCAATACCTACAGATAAATCCTGGAACAATAACGGAAACAGACTTTTACTGGAACATGAAAAAGCTGAGCTTCAAATTAAAATTATACGTGTCAAGAATTCTACAATTTTATTCTGTTAACGTCGAAGAAATCAAATTAAACTTGTAACTTTTTTACCAAAGAAAGAATTTATTTTTAAAATATTGTTTGTACTAATTAATATGTTGCAATTCTAAGAAAAATGAATAAATTAATTTATACTAATTTATAACACCAGCATTTCGAAAATTCCGCCTTTTGTATCATGTTTTCTCGCTAAATACAAATCTTCGGTTGGCAACCCTGGTCGTTTAGTCATTCTAAAGACTTATTAGAATTTACTTTCTAATCCCATAAAATCGTTTTATTGCCCTGTCCTTGAATTTTCCCAAAATTGTGGGATTATTACTCTAAATGAATACCAGAAACCTCCCAGCAAGATATGAGGGTTAAATTGCACGCATATTTAATGACGCTTTTAGACTCTTTAAATACATCCTAGTCATTGATCCCCATTATCTCACCATGGAGATGGTTGGTGACAACCCTAAATTTTTACACCATAATTCACTTCATTTTCATCAAATTCCTTAAATACATTTTGGAGATTCGCAGTGGCGACTCATGAGCTTTTGAAATAGGGGGGCACAATTTGATTGATGAATTAAGTATGAAGATATAAAGCAGACTATTACCAATTAATAGATGAAATTGTGTGACGGAAATAAACACAAAACTACATTCAATAAAAGTAGAAAAGTATTTGTCACGTTTCAAACGCGATCCGATTCCAGCCAGTTACAGCGCTAGAGGCGGGGTTTCCATGGCAACGTCGTAAACAAGACGTCTAAGTGAGTCATCGTTTGGTCTCGGTCTCAGGGATGGGATTTTGTTTCTACCGACACGATATGAAGCGATAACAAAGTGATTAATGACAAGGACGGAAATATAAATTTCAGATGCGAGAGAAAAAGACGACCACATTTTATCGGTACCGATATTTTATCGTTACAGGGGTGGGATTTTGTTTCTACCGATACGATACGAAGCGATAAATGACAAGGACGAAAATATAAATTTCAGATGCGAAAGGAAAAGAGGACCACATTTTATCGGTACCGATAACATGTGGTCGTCTTTTTCTTTCGCATCTGAAATTTATATTTTCGTCCTTGCCATTTAAGACGAAAATATAAATTTCAGATGAGAAAGAAAAAGACGACCACATTTTATCGGTACCGATATTTTATCGTTATAGAAACAAAATCCCACCCCAGAAACAAAATCCCACCCCTGGGGTCTCAGCTTACAACATCTTTGGATGTTAGTTTTGATAGTTAATTTTAACCGCTTAACTATGCGTATGAGGAAATACAAAACAAAGTTGATAGATATAAATGATTACCTTTACATCTTTGTGCTTTCGATTTGTCTTCGTGTATGTCTTAGATCCTCGCTGTTTCTCGGTAGCGTTGATTGCGAGTCACTGGATCACTAGATTACCAAACCACTCCCAGCACTGATTTTATGATCCGTTAGATCATAAATGGGTGACCTAATTTGATGGTCGTTTTGCATGAAGGACCAGTTCACAACCAAAAAAATGTTTTGTCACAATGGAGGACTTGATTTCAAACTAACACTATAGCGTCAGTAAAACGCGTACTTGTCCTAGGAAGGTTTATTTTCGACTATTTAGTATTATTTAGAATAAGAAACAAAATAATGGGGTGGGTGAGAAGGTGGAGCCTAATGCACCCTTCTTCTTCGGTTTGTCTGGAGTGGGTGCATTAACGTTATCAGAGGGAGGTATTTAGCCTACTTGCTGTGGTAAACTAAGGTACTTAAATCCGACGGGTTTCTTTGTCGTTATGATTTATAACTTTAGTCAAAGTTTCTGAAAGTGGTGAGGCGACTGTACTTGATTAAACAAACATTTATAATCATTCTTTATTGTCTTTTGTACTTACGCCCCTTGAAACATGTCAAAATTGCGACAACAATTTTTGTTTGAATTTTCATATCGTGCAAATTTTTTGCAGCTGATTGTTACTGTCGAAGTGTATTGTAAAATTTAAAATGATAATCATAACATTATAAATACAAATATTACATAATTACATAAAATATACACCACTGTAGTTACATATCAAAACATAGTTTTCTTTTACAGAAAGTTTTATTGTAAATTTAAGTTTTCTTTGAAAATGGATATGATTTATACTAGTAAATGCGTTATAGTAAACTATGATGAAGTATGGCTTTTCTTTGCTTCTCTTCGTATTATCGAAACTAGAAATTTTGCAACTTTTATTTATAACACATCTATTATTAAAACTTTTGGATTCTAATACAGTACCGTCCATAGAAGTATTTAGACACCACTGTGTACTTTTTTTTTGGTTAAGTCATAGTCGAAGCGAAAAATTATATCACATCAATTTTAGCTCGAATTTTGAAAGAAAAATTATGTTCAAAATTTACAAAAGTTTTTATTGAACCATCAAAACCAGGGGACTAAATTTTGATAGACGAATAAAATTAAAAATAATACTGAGACAGGATAATAATGGTTTGCGTTACAATCACCACACCATCTATTATGTAAGTTCAATTAGATACTTGAATTATGCATCACTAAAGTTTCTGCAATACTGAGTAGTTTGAGACTACTCATTCTTTTGAAAAGTGTTAACATATGTTTGATACACGGCGTAAATCAGCAATCAACCTTTCAGAAATCGATAGAGTACACAATGTCGTATCAAACACTAAAGCGTATTTTTCAAAATCTGCTGATTTCATAAAAACTTGGGTGCAGTGAAGTTATTTTGTATCACTCACAATCACGATTATTTATTTTGCCCATAAACAATCCTACATAAGTAAATGATAAAAAAATTACACTTCGCTTCTTTGATACAGGAATTTACTTTTTTAAATTGGCATTACAACTGCAGTTTACGATAAGGCTTTGTCGTGAATTTTGTTGCTATTCACCCTAGTATAATCCTACGCAATTTAATGTATTTACACCTCGTGAAACAAATATGTGTGTGAACGTTGTTTGTGATTTAGACGTACACTTCATTACCTTGATATGCAAGTGACTATAGTAACATTAAATTTGACCCCTACTGTCATTAAAGTCAACACTCCTATAATTCGTCTAAAACTAAATTAATATTAATGTAATCAAATGCTAACCTCAAAATAAAAATACGTCTACATGTCTCGTTGAATCTGCTTGTTTGTATAACGTGTCAAAGTAGCTGTTTCATTTGATCTATCGTAGATACACTCGTGTTGTACTTGATTTAATGTTAACATTATAAAACGGTAAAAATATAACGTCATAGAACGTAAAAAAACACAAATGTCGAAGAAGCGTACCATTCTACGACTGAAAACCACTTTATATTAAATTAATCTCATGAAATATAGTAATAATGATAATTTTTTTGTACGAGTTCCTTTACTAGATAGAAAAATCGTGCTTCCTTAAAATATGACTGCAAAACTATTTAGTAATAAATAATTTCATGAATCATGAGTTCGTTATATGGAAGTTCCACTGTATTTTTTGTTTGTAAAAGAAACGTGCTTCCTAAGATTGTTTTTATGAATCAAATGTGGGATTGTAAGCTGGAAACAAAACATTTTCAATTATGTGTGATACGTATTTTTTTCGAAAACTGGAGTTAAAACAAAAAATGTAAGATTTTTCTTTAAAAAAATAATTTCGATACTTGCAAACTACTACTACTAAGATTTTAAAATACTTCTCTGAGTTCGTTGTAGATACCAGTTCGTGCTAAAAACCACAATACAATATTTTTTGCAACGGCGATAAATTTAGTTTCTTTGTCTGAATGATTAACACATTTAATTTTGACCATCCGTCCGCACTTTGTCAATGTAGCAATTTCTGTTGAATCAATTTTATTAATCACATTAATTTTTAAACTGACGTAATGATTTAAATATGTTAAAATATTGTGGAAACAAGTGTTTTTGTTGTGCTATTTTTAAATGTCACGAAAATCATTTTAACCGAATTTTTAAAAATTTGCTGGTGTGTGACTAGCTCGTTCCAAACGAGAAAATAATGTTTTACTTTTAGATTACAGATGGAATGTCTTCACTAAAAACAATGGCCCAACAAGTGATTGATCGAGCTGGACTTGAAAGCAATCAAGTAATTTTAGAACCGAACAAAATACACAACCAAGAAAAGTCTGACGCTCATATTCCACCCTTACTGGGTGTTGCCCCTCTTGGCACAGTCCCACTACAGAAAGAGCATCAGGCGCAGTTTCAATTAATGGAAGCGGCGTATTACCATATGCCACATCCATCAGATTCTGAAAAAGTAAGAACTTACTTGCCGAGGAATTCATATCCTACACCATCATACTATATACAAACACCACTACCACATTCCGATACGGTGGAATTTTATCAACGTTTGGCGAACGAAACATTATTTTTTGTTTTTTATTATATGGAGGGCACAAAAGCTCAATATTTGGCCGCTAAAGCGCTTAAAAAGCAAAGTTGGAGGTTTCATACGAAGTACATGATGTGGTTTCAGAGGCACGAAGAACCCAAGATTATTAATGAAGAATATGAACAGGTAGGTGCACTGGAAACTAACAATGACGATTTTTAATTTTATGTTTCTTAGGGAACATACATTTACTTCGATTATGAAAAATGGGGCCAACGAAAAAAAGAGGGATTTACCTTTGAATATAAGTACTTAGAGGATAGAGACCTGAACTGAATAAAGTATTTAAAAAAAATCGTGTATGTATTTTTATTTTACAATAATTTGGGCAGTACTTTGTTCTTAGTGATGTAAAGTGCGGCAGGTACCTAATTGGTGTTTCTTTTAAATACAAAAAAATAGAAAATTAATAGATATTAATTTAAAAGAAGCACGATTTATTGCTGCCAAAAAAATACGCAAGAGGACGAAGAGGTAGAAACCCTGCAACTGTAGAATAAGTTTTTGAGATGGCAGTGCTTATTGTTGCAGAAACAATAGAAGCTAGGCTACCTAAAACTGTGTTGATTGACTTTTGGGTTGCCTAGTTTGGATCCAGAAAACTTTCCTTGCTTGTAACATAGTAGCCCCTCTTTCAACTGTCGATAAACACAAATTGCATGAACTTTATGCAGCATTTATAACGATCGTTAAATAATAAAACATCAGAAACGCTCATGGAAATTTTAGTCAACCCCAACACGAAAACGATTTTAGTGAACGTAGTAACCACGATACTATGTCATATCATAATTATATTATGTTCATTTGTAAAAAGGTACAAGAAAGCTTTGCCAAATTGCTTTACAAAAGCTTATACAATAGGATACAAAAATTCAATCTGAAAGCCACTATACAAAAATACTTTTCACATAAGTCAAGTGACTGTAAATCACACAATACAAGGTAGAATACTGCTACATATTATAAATATACTATATACAACTGAACTGCGCAACTATAGGTAGTTATACATATTTTGATGCAAATCCCAATCAACAATTTTTGTTCGTAGAATTCATATCTTGCAGGTAACAATACAAAATCCCCGCTTGTGCCATTACATCGACGGTTTCAGCTGAAAGGGTATCTTTAGGCCTATTTTGATTCAGTTTGGTTCCTGGCCTTAGCAAAGTAGGTCCAAAAACTGTTGCCAAATTGTGCAGAGACATTTTGTTGTCGTCTTCGTGTTTATGCACCCTGAAACACAAACGTGAACGTTGAAAACGCAAATCAACGAGTTACCTGATTAAATGCTCCAATATAAATTTAATTATTCTTTGATTTAGTTCCGGCAGTTTGGAAAAACACTCTTTCAGCAGTTCTATTCGACGGGTAAAGTTTCCATTGCTGGAATTAAAAGCTTCTGAAAGAGATGGATACAATTGATCGGTAAAAAGCGCTTCTGGTAATTCTCTTAAATATAGTTTTAAAATTCCCGTCACGGAGTGAATATCGACTTCCTTCAGTAGCTGCTCAGCCTCGTAAGAATCTAAAACGAAATAGTCAGTTGTTATTAAATTGATAAAAATTGATATTACTTGTTTCAAAGGACTTCTTTAGTTTGGATATATCAGAAGCGGATCCCGAGACCCGATAAACCCCAACTTCTGACATTCCTCGCCTCTCAACTTCCCTAATGCATGCAGTGATTATAAATGGAATGTCTCTCTTCTGACGCCTACAAAATTATGTTATATTACTGTTGTCAGTATTGATATATAACATACCTGCAAACATTCTGGATTTTTTCTCCAAACAGGGCTCCGTTTTTACCTGTCGGTAGTCGTCGAAGACTTACAATGCACGGAACGAAAGTGAGACTAAGCCGCAACGTTGCCCCATTTATATTAAACTTCTTCTCTACGGCTTCCCGACGCAGCCAACTTCTACTCAGTTTCTGAGTATATTTTCCTATCAAAGTATCGTTCGACTGATTTGAATGGTTAGTACGATAAACCAGCACGCGAAGATTTTCACATCCTTCAAGATCAATAACAAACTTTTCTCCCCACGTGAAAACATTTGAACTGGTGACGGTTTTGGTTTTAGCTTTTTGAAAGAAATGCCCGTAGAAATCGACTTCGAAAACAACGTAAGCTTCTACAATTTCCACAGTCCACAGTCTTAGTTTAATTAACTTCAATTTTACTTACCGCAACTGTATTCCAAGCCGCTTAATTCAAAAATGTGAAGATGTAGATCTCCAACGAGCAATCTTTCGTCTTGACCACTCCTGAGGAGATACGAGCCCATGTTCGTTTTCAAAAAAGCTCGACAAGCCGTGATCCACGTCTGTAGTTCTAGCATGCTAAAATTGGACGACGGTGTTGGAGGTTTACCCGTTCTTTGTAGGGTTAAGATAGCTTCGATCCATTGCGTGCGTTCAAACTCCGACGATAAAAAAAATGTGTATAAGCGAGCAGTTGGGCGATTTTTTATTCGAAATGGTAAATTGGGGGAGACCAATACCAACTGACTTTCTAGTTCTACTAGGCGTTTTTTAAACTTGTCAGAACCTCTGCTACTTCTTATTTTCTAAACATATTAAATGTATGTGTTATGAAGAGTCGTTGCTTCGTACTTACTTTGTCTTCTAGGGCTTTTTCTTCCTGTCTAAGTTGATCTCTGACATTTGATGCTTGCGACTTAAGACTTACTATATTTGGTATGGAGCTTTCATAGTGATGTTGAGGACTGCTTTCTTGGAAAATGATAATGTCTTCTACTGGAATGAACCATTTTAATTCAAATGTGTATTTTTCAGTCCGCCCAGATGGCTAGAATAGAAAATGATAAGTTTTTTTATTATAATAATTTTATTAATGTTTTTGTTTTCAACGAGTTTATTAAAAAACAAGTTTCATAGTTTCATAAGCGGTTATTTTAGAGTACTAATCCCAAAATTAGAAAATGAGTCGTCAGACGAGTTTCCTCAGAAATGAGTGCCCTAAATACTTTTATTTTAAATATATGTAACACGACATTTTTGTCTAAAATGCAATAGAATATAATCTCCATCCTTACCTACAAATGCAATAGGAGAGACAAATTTTATATCTTTTTACACCGCCGGTATTTACTAAAAAAAAATGCCGAAGTAGTCCGGCAGAAACTTTGAGATTTTTTTTGTGATTATCGATATCGAATAGTCAATTTAAGGTAACTGTTAAAATACGTACACTTTATTTTAGGAATAAATGAAGTAAATAAATGTATGTAATGTAAAAAAATTGGTCTAAAGAGTTTCGACAGTACTTCCCTCGCTGTCGGAAACGTGACGACTGCATGCCTATTATGTTTTTTTTTTCGCAGTGGATTTCAAAGAATTCGGTTTTGTTGTTTCTGAGTAAATCAGTAAAATAAATTTACGCATTCATTAATTTTTTTGAGTCACCCTGTATATGCAAATCCAAAAAATATGAATGGAGTGATAGATCACAAGTACAGACTCATCATATTTTGTACATTTTAGATATGATTTATTCGGCAAACTTTCGAGCTGACGTCATCAATTTTTTGGAGGGGATAAGCAAATGTATTTTGACTAAACATTTATTATGCTCTTTATAACCTTAAAACATCTGCAAGATTTCAAAGCATTCGGTTTTGCAGTTCATGATTAAATCGAAAAAATAAATTTACGCATTCATTAATTTTTTTGAGTCACCCTGTATATGCAAATCCAAAAAATATGAATGGAGTGATAAATTACAAGTACAGACTCATCATATTTTGTACAGTTTAGATAAGATTTATTCAGCAAACTTTCGAGCTGACGTCATCAAGTTTTTGGAGGGGATAAGCAAATATATTTTGACTAAACATTTATTATGCTCTTTATGACCTTAAAACATCTGCAAGATTTCAGAGCATTCGGTTTTGTAGTTCCTGATTAAATCAATAAAATATATTTACGCATTCATTAATTTTTTTGAGTCACCCTGTATATGCAAATCCAAAAAATATGAATGGAGTGATAGATCACAAGTACAGACTCATCATATTTTGTACATTTTAGATATGATTTATTCCACAAACTTTTGAGCTGACGTCATCAAGTTTTTGGAGGGGGTAAGCAAATATTTTTTGACTAAAGATTTATGATGCTCTTTATAGCCTTAAAACATCTGCAACATTTCAAAGCATTCTGGTTAGCAGATTAAAAATTAAATTTCAAAATGTTGTTTTATAATTTTGATTTTTTTTCCAAAAATCTGGACGTTTCGGGTGAAAAGTCGATTCGGAGTTGTAAACTACATGTGTAGGACTATGTTATTTTATACAATTGAAAACCCATTTACTATGTACAATTTTGAAGTGACGTCATCGCATTAGTGGTGGGGATGATTAGACAAATTTTGGTTAGCGTTTTACCATCTACATGATATTCTTAATATAAGTACAAAATTTCACAACAATCGGTCGAGTACTTTCGGAGATTATCTGTCTAATAAAAATCCGGGGGCAGACGGACAGACGGACGGACGGACAGACGGACGGACAGACAGACGGACAGACGGACAGACAGACGGAAATGGGAGACCTATTTCTTCGTCTTCTAGGGGTCATGAAAGATCGAGAAAACGTAAAAGTAGAGAGTCGGCCGACGGACTCGATTACAATACTTCCTTTGCTTACGCTCGGGAAGTAAAAATCCTACAAAGGCAAGAAAAAAATGTTCAGCATCACGCGAAATTTGAAGGTGAAAAATGACGTTTATAGTGTCCCAATCGAAAATGAAAACCACTTACGTAAAAGGATAATAGCGACATGCAGATCTATAATAACTCCCGACATGTTATACCGAGTTCGTAGAAATTTTGAACATTTATTATAAATTCGTTTTCGTTGTAATCTGATTCATTAATACATTGAGTATTAATTTTTTCAATTTTGTAATTACATATTTGGCAATAACATCTTTGTAATTTTTTTTTCTGCGATTGCTGATTGCTTATTAAAAAGAAATAATTAAAATCGACGAAGTCGTCTCTGGGGTGTATAATATGTTGCATATGCAAAAATTGTCAGGCGTGAACAGATAAATTGAACACCCTGTATATTTTTATTATTAGAATAATTCACAATATGATTAAAAATAATAATAATATGCATAGATCCCCAGACAAAATTTTTTACTTAATTTACTAGATATTATGTAACTATTATTAAAAAAACACCAAGTAAAAAAATCTGAAACTATACTGTCATGCGTATCATATATAGGGTGAGTCACTGAGCAGGCGTCCTTTGATATTTCATTAATTATTCGAAAATAAAGAAAAAATTACGGACAAAAGTTGTACAGCATTTTGAGTAATATACAATAAAATTATTTCCATCAATGTACAAACTTTTTTATTAAGTATTTTACAAATTCCAGTTCTGGCCATAAACACTTTAAAAAGCGAAGAGTAAAAAAACTTAAATATTAATTTTTCAAAACTGTAATATTTTATTATTATTTTTTTTATACAGGGTGTCCCAGAATTCGCGCCATTCCCCTGAATGACATGTTCCCTGTCCCGAACTGAGCCGTAATTCGCAAAAACAATTGTCCAGGCTTTAACCGTGTGAGAACTGGAAGACGATTAAGTTGACCAATAGAGAGGCTGCTTTTATATTCGAACGTTTCTATGTTTAAAGTTACCTATGCCAAGAACAAAAAATCGGGTAATACTAAAGTTGAATGAATTTTTTTCGAATCCCCCTCCGTCAACAAAAGGAAACAGAAGTGTGGTTATAAATTTAATCATTTTGACAATTGCTTGTCATAAACTGTCACGAAGTTGATCACTGACCTGAAGAGACGCTTCTGCGCCAAAGATGACTGGTTAATGTACACAAAGACGTCAAGGTTTAGTTTAAGGCAAGTAGCATGGGACAGAAGTTATTTTTGCTGCCATTCTAGTTAAATTGTGTTTAACTGGGCTGGACATGCCATAAGAGAAGCTGTTTCATTTCATCGTAGGCAAATAATACATTTATTACTATTCTACATAGTGTAGATACCGAAGAGCAGGTATTAGAAGTCATTTTCTTAGAGCCTCGTGAATAATGTGTTGTTCTTTTAAATGAAAATTAGTACATTTACAGAATTCACTATGCATCGTGTCCCTGATATTAAGTTTATCGTTATTTCTAAAAAAGAGTACCACATGTCCATTCAAAGAACGTTATTAAGAGTACTAAAACATAAATATCGCTTTTGATTAATCGGTGCTTATAATTTTCAATAAACAGTAGGTATCAATTTTTACTGAACAGCTTTGTTGTTGATACCTAATCTAAGCAACGAAAAAGAGACGAGACTCCACTTCTCTGGTGTATTGAGATCAGAGGTATCTGCTGTGTGTCAATCATGTGGGGGAGATACTGAAAACGGAGACTTATTCAAGAATAATATTGATGTTGCACATGCTGATTTAAAACAGTTTCTTTAAAGTTGCGAGTACTTTCCTAGAGAGTGAAAAGATACGAATAAAAATTATAACAAAAATCGTTTAGTTGCATTTTTTTTTAAGAACAATACAAACTATAAACAAATCAGTACCAATACCACTAAGTCACTGATGTCTTATTCAATTGGCACTTCTGGGCAAACGAAAATCCACATTTAGCTAACGTGAGAGCATATCAAGAGCAATACTATTAATCTATGGGCCGGAATCGTTGTACTGTAACGTTATTAAACAATGTGCTCAAAATGATCACCATTAACTTCAATGCAAGTTCTAGCTCGTCGCATTATGTTGTTCCAGTTCTTCTAACGTATCTAGGGGTTCTCTATATACGTAATTTTTAATTTAATTAAAAAAAAAGTCCAAAGGAGAAAGGTCTGGAGATCTAGGAGGCCAAATGTTAGTACTGCCACGCCCAATCCACCTATGAGGATAGACTCTTTTCAATGTTCGCCGTGCAAGTATCGAATTATGTGGAAGAGCGCCGTTGTGCTGAAACCACATATTCCGCCGTACATTCAAAGGAACGTCTTCCAACAACGCCGGAAGCTCTAGTCGTAGAAAATTAGCATATGCCTCCCCATTAAGGTGATCAGGTAACACAAACGGCCCCACCTAAAAAACAGGAACGGAGTTTAGTGATAATTTTATCAGATGCATTAAAATTTTTACCACAGTAGTACCAATGATTCCAGCCCATAGATTAATAGTAAATCGCTCCTGATACGCTCTCACCCTAGTGAGATGTGGATTTTCGTGTGCCCAGAAGTGCCAATTGTGTGCATTAAACATTCCTTCTCGGGAAAATGAACATTCGTCGGTGAAAAGAATGCGCCGTGAAAAATCAGGATTTAGTTCATTTTGTCGCAAAAACCATTGAGCAAAATGTACTCGTCGCGGGTAGTCGGTTGGTCGCAGATGCTGCACTCTCGTGTAATGGTAAGGATGCAGTATTCTCTCTTGAAGGGTACGATGAGTGGTCGATCTTGAGCATCCACTCATTTGCGCTACATAGAGGACACTTCTCCTAGGATCCGCTTCCATGTTTTCTAACACTTGCTCTTCAGCACCCACACGTACATTCCGTGGAGCCCCAGCCTTTCCGACTAGGTTGAAAAGATCCATCTTCTCTTGCTCGATGTAACAATCGGTGAAACACTTGTTGGTCTGGGTGCCGACGATTATTCACGGGGCTCTAAGAAAATGACTTCTAATACCTGCTCTTCGGTAGCTACTCTATGTAGAATAGTAATAAATGTATTATTTGCCTACGATGAAATGAAACAGCTTCTCATATGACATGTACAGCCCAGTTAAACACAATTTAACTAGAATGGCAGCAGAAATAACTTCTGTCCCATGCTACTTGCCTTAAAGTAAACGTTGATGTCTTTGTGTACATTAATCAGTCATCTTTGGCGCAGAAGCGTCTCTTCAGGTCAGTGATGAACTTCGTGACAGTTTATGACAAACAATTGTCAAAATGATTAAATTTATAACCACACTTCTGTTTCCTTTTGTTGACGGAGGGGGATTCGGAAAAAAATCATTCAACTTTAGTATTACCCGATTTTTTGTTCTTGGCATAGGTAACTTTGAACATAGAAACGTTCGGATATAAAAACAGCCTCTCTATTGGTCAACTTAATCGCCTTCCAGTTCTCACACGGTTAAAGCCTGGACAATTCTTTTTGCGAATTACGGCACAGTTCGGGACAGGGAACATGTCATTCACGGGAATGGCGCGAATTCTGGGACACCCTGTATATAAACATAAACAACCTGTATGTTAAGACTCAATATTGTTTATATCATAACAAAGCGCGTACCTTTGTTTACCCCATTGAGACAATTTTTGTGAACCCTCGCATTGCTAAAAAAATAAGCAAATTGGAATAACGTGGCAACGTCGCATTAGAATTTCAAAAATATGCGTTTCATAAAAAAAAATTTGTTATGCCAAAAAAACAAAACACTGTTTAGTTAGATTTGTACTTGCTAAGATAAGACTGACTGTGGCCAATGATACATCCTCCATGAAAATGGAGGGTTGGTGGGCGGGGCTAGTATTTGTTAAGATAGGGCTGAACAATATCAAGAGTAATCAATACAATGAAGAAAGGATGTAGAAAAAGTAAACCCAGGTCCCCCTTCTCTTTTCTCCATTTCAGTGACTTATTTTATTTACTGTAAAATGGGAATTAAATTCTATTTTGAAAAGCGGTACAATCTAAGATTTAAAACAGAGTAAGAAGTCGTCCCGCCCACCCGCCCCTATTCGGTTTTGATCATTCATTTTATTGGCCGGAGACGGAAGTTGTAAAGTTATTGCTTCATTTGCCAGAATCAGTCTTATCTAAGCAAATATAGGCCCCGCCCGTTCACCCTCTATTTTCTTAGAGGATATATCATTTGCCAAAATCAGTCTTATCTTAGTGAGTATTAGCCCCGCCCACCCTCCCTCTATTTTCTTAGAAGGTATATCATTTGCCAAAATCAGTCTTATCTTAATTAGCCCCGCCTATCCGCCCTCTATTTTCTTAAAAGGTATATCATTTACCAAAATCAGTCTTACCTTTACAAGTACTAGCCCCGCCCACTCGCTCTTTATTTTCTTAGAAAGTATATTATTTGCCAAAATCAGTCTTATCTTAGCAAGTTCAAGTCTCGCCCACCCGCCCCCTATTTTTTTAAAGGTTATATCATTTGCCAAAATCAATCTTACCTTTACACGTACTAGCCCCATCCACCCACCCTCTATTTTCTTAGAAGGTATATCATTTGCCAAAATCAGTCTTATCTTAGCAAGTTCAAGTCCCGCCCACCCGCCCCCTATTGTTTTTTAAAGGTTATATCATTTGCCAAAATCAGTCTTACCTTTACAAGTATGTACTAGCTATATTAATTTATGCTACTCAAGGAACCCTAAAGTGCGTTTTTTATTAAAAGTATTGCTTCGTGTTGATAATATAAGATTTTTTTTTTTGATATCTACTAATTTTTGCATAATGCCAGTGGCAGAACTACAGACTGTTGATAATACCTTAGTCAAAAATATTCAAAATCTAAACCTCCCTCGCAAAAAGAAAATGGTTGTCGTATTAAAACCTGGGTTAATGAAAATCTTCCAACTACAGATTTCAAAATACGAAAACCAAAAGGTTTACAGATGTCACAAAACAAATAACTTAACCCAACTTTCGTTTCGTTTTCCACTAAAAATTCATGGAAAAAATTGCGACGTTAGTCAACTTAAAAAAAAAACGTATTTTACAACTTTGGTCTCTGACTCTTTTTTCTTTAAACTTAAATATTATATTTCCCATGTCTTAAATAACAAAATTAAAAGGAAAAAACTCTATGATAAGGTTTCTAGTAATTTGTACTTTTCGAGCATAAGCTTTCACAGCTCCTAGAATATGAAAACGCAAATCCTCGTCTCCAATTGTCTTGCATCTGGTGTCTGTCACCTGTCTGTGATTTTATGAGACACGTAATATCAAAACTACCGGGCTGATTGTTGTGAAATTATGTGTAAATTTTATTTCAATTCTAGAGATATTTAAATTTTTGAAAAAAAAAACTGTACGACGAATTAAAAAAAAAACTTCTGAAATCTTTCAAACGCTTTAAGGTTATACACGATAAATCACTAATTAAACATTTTTATCCTCTCCAAAAACTTGATGAAGTCATCTCAAAATTTTGCTAGATATGTATTTATTAATGAACTTTGCATATGTTTTGTATAAAGATTCCAAATTACACAAAAAGATTTTTGAATTTATTATAGAAAGTATTAACCAATTGCGCGAAATTTAGTTCCTGTTTTAAGTTATCAATCTGAAAGATTGATAATTTTGATGATGTTATCTCCAAAGTTTGCTAAGTAAATCCTATTTAAAATATGTGAAGTATTTAGTATGCAGCTGTATTGTTTTATGAATCTACTCATACTTTGAAACTTATAATTAAGATAAATATCTTATTTTTTCTCATTTATTTATTTTCAAAATAAAACTTAACAATAGTAAACTTTCTTTCACAAAAGTATATATGTTTTTTCCCTACATCCATTACATAATCAGAAGTGGATCCAATACAACTGGTTTATGTCCAGTTTAAAATAAAAAAGTGTTGACGAGAATGGGATTCGAACTCACGCGCACAGAGCTCAGTTACTAAAAGTTAATTATATGAAACACGCGTTAAATATTGCACAACATTTTTGTAAAGTAATTATGATTAAAAATCAAAGCGGATTCATAAACCACAAGTGTAGAAGTTATCACTTTGTAAAATTTAAGTAATATTTAATGTATAAAATTTTGAGAGGACGTCGTGAAATTGTTGGTAGAAATGATTAGACAAATTTTGGTTAGCGTTTTAGCATCTGCTCGATATTCTTAAATCACATATTAAATTTGACAAGAATCGGTCCAGTAGTCATTCACCGGATGGAGATTATTACAATACTTCCTTAGTAAAAATTATGATTATTTTATTATCCTTTATAACTAGAATTAAATATTAGTAAACTTAACATTATGAAGTTTTCGGTTAAAACGTTTGTTCGGTTCGCATATATTTATGGAAAGTCAACAGCTGAGAGCCGTTAACCTAATTAACCATTTGGGCTTTAACTTCAGTACAAATTTAGACTTTAATTACTTGTATCATATTAATGATGTAGTTAATAAAGTTAATAAAACTCTGGATTTCATAATGCGCCAGTGTCGGGAATTTTCCAATCAGGAGATCCATACGTTGGTACATTCTTCTATAACTCGAGTTATCGTGAAATATCGGACATTAATTTGATCACCGTATGAGACCAATCGAGTCAAGGTTGTAAAAAAATAAAAAATAATTCGTCAAATAATTGTTTTCGATTTCTTTCAATTATAGAAGTAGATATTACCTATAACATTTTTCTCTAAATTTTGGTCTATTTAGTTTACGTGATTGTTATTGTTCTTCTAAGTATGTATTAAAGCACATCACATTTAGAAAAACATCACAAATTTTACATCGTTTTGATACTTTTCTTTTTAAATATTTAATCACTAATAGTATCATTAAAATATTTATTTTCATATTTTTGTTATAACTGTACAACGGTAAATTAATTGATTACAACGCAATTATTCCGTCCATGTATTTCGTATTATCATTAGATACGTGCGTCGATTTAATTAAGCTACTGATATCACGTTATCAATTGAATTAATTCTCAACCAGTCGCTTACTGAAAAAGCGACACTCACAAAATATAATCCGTATCATTTCCTATAAATTATCATGGAAATTTGTGCCAAATTGATAACAGATGCAATGTAAATAGATGATGAATTTCTTAAAAAATCCAAAAATGTGTTGCAATTTTATTGAAGACAAATCATTCTGCAAAATTTTTAACTATAACTCCACAGCATTATACAACAGTTCTGTGACAAATATACAAATAGTACAAACTCTGACTGAATGAGTTAGTTTTTTTTTTCAATAGTCCACAATTTATGCGTTAAATATTTTTGGTGATTTTTTCTGATTGATGTTTGCATTCATTGTTTAACATGTAAAACATTAAATACATGAAAGTAAATTCAAAAATACATTTTTAAATAGTTACTATGAAAGTCTGCACTAAATTAAGAAGTTTCACTTTTATTTATACTTCATGTTTATTTAAAATGATACTCATGAAAATTTAATTTTCAAATGAACCAATCATTAACGATCGTGACTATGACAAATTGCGAAGTTACTTACCTTATACTTCGCGCACGCGATGACGTCATTAAATAAGAACAAGTGCCTAAGTTTCCGATGGCCATCAGCGAATTCAACGATGAATGAATTTTTAACAAGCCGTCTTTGAGCTCTATCAGTAGCCTGAAAAATAAAGTAAATAAAACAAAGACTTCCCATTGCAAAACTTACAGGAAACATGGATTTTGTTTGAATCATGTTAAACTGATCGAGAAAATTCTGGGTCAGCTGTAGAGCCTCAGAAAGACTGTTGTAATCAGGATGAGTCGCTTGTAAGCAATTTAACAAATCGTGTAATACTAAGGCGTTCTTTTGGACTCTAGCGACGGGTTTATGCAGAATATCTTCTAAATTTACGGGTTGTTTGGATAAGTGCTTACAAGTAATATTTTTGGTGATGTTGCTAAATTGAATATTAGATTCACAACACTTTCGTACGGTATCCAAAGCGCGGCCATAATTGCTTAAAAATGCACCATATAGTTCTAAATTTAAAGCCTAAAACAAAAGAATTAATTTTGCAATTGTTACAAAAATTTACAAAATATACCAAAGTTTTGAAGCATTCGCCAATCTTGTTGTCGCATTTTTCAGTATGACTTTTTAAGTCTTCTAAAAAATTTGAATGCAAAGTGTATAATTCTGGAATCTTATAAAATATAGTGTTCAGTTCAGTCTCAGTAGCAATTCGTTGTGAAGTACTTAAGGTAGCTTGGATGGCTTTCATATACTAAAACAAATGTAAAATTATGCAAATGTGTGTGCTTTCCACAAATACTTTACTTTTATTAAAACACCAAGCCATTCTACATAATCTGTCTCACTTCCTATTATATTCAATAATATGCACTTATACATGGAATTTTCATTTCCAGTGTCATTATCAGCCTCCTGAAAACAAATTGTTGTCAAAATTTCAACAAAAACAATTGAACAATTTACAGGTTGAAATTTCCGTTTACTAAACGGAGTTGACGATTCTAAAGAACTTGAGCTTGCATATGAGCCATTGCTTCCGCGATGACGTATTTCTGTGACTTCTTCATCACTACTGCTATGACCATTATCGTTCTGATGACTTGACCTTAAAAAATCATTTCAATGGAAATATAAACAACCACAAAAATACATACTTTATAAAATATTCAATATTAACGTAATTTGAAGCACTTGGTGACTGTGAACCTTTATCATGTTTTGTCAGAAATGAAGCCCCAGAGCTTAAAGTATTTTCTGCACTAGAGTTGTCACTTTCAAGTAAATTAAAATCTTGTTCTTCAGTAGCTACAATATCATAATATGGTTCATCAGGTGTAGACACACGCTCAGATGATGATCCTATTGAGTCACGATGCTCTAGTTTTCTTTGAAAGCTGCTATTTCTATAAATGTCAGGTTTAGCTGGAATCCTGAAACAGAGTCATTAGAAAGGAAAAACCAACTGCAACTTTATCATACTTTGGTGGTGTTTGGGTTTGAGTGGTTGCTGTAGACTTTAAACCATTTACTTCAATTACTGTTACAAAAGAACTAGGGTCAGGAAGAGACACATCAGACTCATCAGTTTGTTCACAATTAAGTTTGGACAGTTCATTTGATATTTCTGTAACACACATGTTTGCAGAAATTGTTTCAAATTCCTCTAAATTCATCCCAGTGGCAACTGGTGTGGTGGTCTGAAAAAGTCACAAACAATATACAATTATTATTATTACGTTATCAATTTTAAAACCACTGTTACGGATTTTCCTCAACATATTGTGAAAATTAATTCAAAATAAATAAAAAGTTATTTACATTTGATACGTTATCAGCAATGACATCACCAGCAGTCTCACTTTTCGATTGTTCACAATCTTCCGAAGATTCATTCTTCTTGTGTTTTTGAATATCAAGAAGTAGCCTTTCTAAGTATTCCACATAAATTTCCTCCTTCCGGACTTCTTCCTTGAACATCGACACTTTCTGTTTATGTTTGGCCAAATTTAATTTGACATGCTCTTCCCAAGCTCCTGGTAGTGGATTGTCGGGAAATCTTTGCAACCACACTTGTTGGAAATCGTTAAACACACTCATTTTGATGCACTTTTTTCACATTATTTATTTAATTCCTCCATTTAATCTAATCAAATTATATTAAAACCCTCAACAAAAAGTACACAACTGACTGACATAACAAGGGAGTTGACACTGTTGACAGGTGACAGCAGAACAACCAATCAGGGACTACCCAAAACACTCGAAACGTTGATAAAATATAACGATTGGCAACACTTTTTTCGGTTAAGGAGCGCGTAATTTGAAATTATCATAAAAGCGAAGCAAAATAGTTGCGAAATAGCGTCGATTTTGACTTTAATTAATTATTAAACATAACCAATGATAAAAGTTGATCGAAAACCAAAGAATCGCAGAACCGAGCACGAGACAAAGTGTCTTTGTTATAGTGTTGGTATTCCGGGTGTTTGATTTTATTAACGTTTGAGGTTATGTTTTTTGAAAATTAAAGTTTTGAATGTCTACTTCAGCAAGGTTTTAGATTTTTGCTTTCTCAAACTAAAATGCTGCTGGTTTCATGAAAAGGATTACATAGTTAAAATAAAACAAAATCACCTGCAATGGGAGACAGAATCGATACATTCATATAGATACAATTTATGAACCAGGAACTAATGAAATCAGATAATGGCAGGATCAACAAAAAGAGATAACGATGATAACACACTCCAATTATTGCAAAGTAGAGAGCCACAGTTGCGAGCACAAAGCAACTTGGCAATGCCATTCATCGAACAAGAACAAGAGACAAGTGCAGTAACTAGAAGTAATGACGTCGTTTATTTAAAAAAATCTCTCAGTAAAAAGGCGAAGAAGAGATTAAAATGTGCGGGCATATTTTTGTAAGTGAAATTTTAAATTTTCATCCCATTTTAATAAAATAAAATTTTAGAATTATACTATTAATAATAGTCTTTTTACTGGCATTTGTGGGATTGCCAGTATTTTTTATGAATTCGCTTGCGCTTCAAAGGCTTATCATGTTCACCAACTGTAAGTATTACATAGATAACTGATTTTTTTTAAATATATTTAATTTAATGCAGTGGGGTTACCCAGTGAAGTAAGCCACTTCAGAAAATATGAATTAAAACCAGGTTTAAGAAACTTCTATGTATCAGTAAAGGACGTACTTAGTAAAGATGTAATTTCACTGGGTGTGTGGCATTTGTTGCCTTACACATTTCAAGAACATGTAATTACTGATCAAAATTTTGATTATGATGATGCTCTACTAAACAGTAATATGAGTGTTTTGCTATATTTTCATGGTACAGGTGAAGACAGAAGCTCTTCACTATCAAAATATAGCATTTTTAGATTTTTCTTTCATGTGATAACATTTGATTATAGAAGTAGGTACATTTAGACATTTTATTTTACATCTGATAAAATTGTATATCTTAGATTATGCTGATTCTTCAAAAAATGAGTTATCTGAAGATGCAGTAGTTAATGACTGTGTGCAATTATATGAATGGTTAACTACTAAAACTAAATCACGTATAATTATATGGGGGCATTCACTGGGGAGTGCATTAGCAACACACACTGTTTCATTATTACAAACAAAACCCAATGTTACTCAGCCTGTAGGTTTAGTTCTTGAAGCTGCCTTTACAAAAATGAGTGAAGAATTGTATGTTCATCCTTACGGTAAAGTAAGCTTTTAAAAAATCAAACAAGATTTTTTTATTTTAATTAATATGTTTAGATATTTGCGTGGCTACCATGGTTTAAAGCTACCATTCTGAGGCCTCTAGAGAAAAACGGATTTTTATTTGATACTAGCAAAAATATTTTAAATGTAGAATGTCCTGTCATGATACTGTGTGCTGAAGATGATAGCATAGTACCATATAAATTTGGACAAAAGGTAGAATTAATAAGTGATTTAGAGTAGTACAATGTTTATCTTTTTCCCTTGTTCTAGATACGTGAGATTGCACAAAACAGAAGTGTGCTAAATACAACGTTTTATTATCAATTTGATTATAATTTAAATTATGATCATTTTTTCATATATCAGGATCCATTTATACCTTACTTTATAAAGTAATGCGTTAATTATATAGCTGTTTATTTAGTGACGCTCTTTTTTTTAGCTATTTTCAGTTCGTTTGTACCGATGGACGATCCAGTGATATTTAAATGTAACAAATTTACATTAACCTTTGTGATGTGTCTTTAGAAATTAGGAAATATTTATTTAACTATTGGAAAACGGTGATGCTAGTCTAACAATAAGAAGAAAATGACAATGAAACGCAGTATTAATATCCATAAGTGCTGTGGATATCATTTACTGACCTTACGTAACGTCTGTTCTAACATTATTTTATATAAGAACAGTAAGTACAGAACAGAAATACAGTATTATTTTTATAAATTTTATTTTATTTTGTTCAAATCCTATAACAAGAGTAGTTAATTGGTGAGTACAAGTTTAAAAAAGAACCGATCCTACTTGTGTGATACTTGTTTTGAAAAAAAAAAGGTTCAATGCAAAAAAATGCGAATCTGTCTCTTTCTCTCATTATTGACGTTCCGTAGCAAGACAGCGTACGTAACCAATTTAATAATATACTTTCTAAAATACCTACTTATTTTAAATTTGCTTACGTAAAAGAAAAGAAAGTGTTTATTACAGCGTAAACATAACATTAACAACTCTCAGAATCATTGTGACTTTGTTCAATAACAGACAGTAGCGTGAGGATAATTAAATCCAAAATTGTATGAGACGCGCGAAATTTAAAATCTCTGAGTCTCTGTCCTCAAAGTTGATGTTACAGTGGTCACAGATGTTACGTAATATATTTTCAATTACACTTGCCAAGTAGTCAAAAAAAACTTACAAAGCATGTGGGTAAGTAAACATAGCTATAATGGTTGTTATTTTTGTCACCACATCTACAATACATCCAGGATCCATAGTTCATGGATTTATGAATATATTTTCAAAAATTTTGATTAAATAATGATGGGGAAACCAAGGAAGTGTTTATTAGGGACGCTCGTTTACATGTAAGTTATGGAATGCACATTTGTGTTATAAAATCATTAATTTTAGATTTGCATTATTGCTGCTACTGTTTATGGTTGTTTTTGTAATCATTCCTATAGTTTTTAAGTACAGTATTGAAATACAAAGGAGCATTATTTTCCCAACATGTAAGTATAAAAATAGACCTATGTCTGAATCAACTACTAATTGCGATTTTTAAGGGGCGACTGACGGAGATACAGACTTCTCAGATACGAAGAGTTTTGGCCTAAAAGGTGTCAGAAACTTTTATGTAACTGTTGATCACAAAGACAACGTAACTTTGGGCGCGTGGCAAATTTTACCTAACACGGTCTTAAGTAATGCTGTAGATGACCAATATTACAACTATGAAGAAATTTTAGCAAATAAAAACTACAATATAATAATATATCTGCACGGAAATGGTGGGTTGCGGTCTTCCTCTCTGGAGCTGTATACTGTATTGAGGCAATATTTTCAAATTATTGCAATTGACTATAGAGGTATGAACAAAATATTTATTTTATGATTAAACTTCCTTCATCCCCTAGGGTATGGAGACTCCACAAATAAGGAAATAACTGAAGCCAACATTGTTAGAGATATAGTTAATTTTTACAAATGGATTCAAGCGAAAACAAAGGCGCGGATTTTTGTTTGGGGCCACTCATTAGGTACTGGCGTCAGTACGCATACCATCTCGAATTTAAAAGCTGAAAATGTAATTCCAAGTGGTTTAGTTCTTGAAACCCCATTTTCAACTATAACTGATGTAATGGAAAGACATTTTTTTGTAAAAGTATGAAAACTCAAGATAAGTGTACATAGGTGAAATTCTAGTGTGTTTTTGTTGCAGTTAATATCTTGGCTCCCTTGGTATAGAACAACCATGCTAAACCCCATAATATACAACGATTTTGGTTTTGAATCCACTAAATATATATTAGACGTCGATTGTCCTATTATGATTCTACATGCCAAGGATGATGAAATCGTACCATATGATTTAGCAACCAAGGTACTGAATCCAAGACAAAATAACTTATTATTTCATTTTTTCTTATGTTTTAGTTGTATAACACTGCCATAAAGAACAGAAATTTTACCACTCAGGGAAATATTACCTATCATTTATTTGAAGCTAAGGGTCTTGGACATATGTTAATTTACCTAGAACCTACATTACCAAAAGTTATAAGGTTTGTTGCTACCTTGAGAACTTATTTTTTTATTTATTTTATGATTTTCAGGAGGTTTGTTGAAGTTTGCATAGACTTTGAAAACAAAACTCATAACACAACAGCAGCGTAATGTGATATTTTTAATCTTTTTCTAAAATAAATGTTTGTTAAACAGTCGTTTAAATGTTTGTTTTAATTATAGTGACAGTATAATCGGGGTGATAGTGACATGCATCGAATCCATTTTGAAAACCGCGCGTTTTCTTCACTTTGTGATTGGTCAGGTGTCGGGCTGGTCGAACTTAATGTCATGGCGGAGATTACTGCTTCGGGTAAATTTGTACTCGTGAATTAAAGGTAATTTGTAAATGGAGATTCCAAAGATAAAACTAAAAAACATTCCACAAAGTGTGAGGTGTTAGTGTAGTTATGTTATCAACGTAATCGTCGACTTATTCGCTAGTTTTCATTGAAAAAAACATCAAAATGAGGTAAGTATTGGCTTTTTCAATTAAATACCATTTTTTTGTCAGCAATTAACCCTAAAACAATAATGTTCCCCATGAAAGAAGAATATTTATCAAAAAACTAACAATTCAGCCGATTCTTATTAAATAACATACAAAAATGGAGTTACCTACAAGACTCAAACTATTGTTTGGCAAAACATCTTTTTGACAGTTGTTAAAAGGATTTGTTGACGATTTTTATTTTAATCATTGTGTTTTAAATTTACGTACTTTTGGAAAGCTGCTAAAGTTTTTATGTTGTTTTTTGATGTTTTTATCGATTCGTGAAAAGTTTGGGTGTGTTGAACCCATCCTTGATGACTAAAAATGTTGATTTCCACCCTATCAAGGTTTCCCTAAGGATAAAATTTCCCTGGTGAGGTGAAACACGTTTTCTGCAATGCAAATATTATTTGTCACAGTGAATAAGTGTTGTTGGTTTAAAATGAAGCAAAAATTTCCTCATCGGTATGTTAATATGTTTTGCAGAGTGCATAGTTTTTTGTTTTGTTTTGAGCCACATATGGTCGAATGTTTACATTACAGAGATATTTTAGATGCTGATTTAAACATTTTTTTCTTTTGGCTTGGAAAGATGACACTCCTGTACGCTCCTTTGGCTTTGTAATCTTAATGTTAAGCTCAGAAAATTCCGCAAAGAAATCTAATATCGTTAGTTTTAGTAATAACTGAGTGTAATTAACCGTGCTGTAAAAGTCCTAGACTTGCATTGTTTGCGGCTTTGCATTTCCTGCATTTTTAACTGCATTTGCAATGTATAATACTTTCAAATTAGATTAATCTGTGCATTGATCAAGTGAGTGATAAATGCAGCTCCCAATGCTTGCTCATAATATCAAAATGGTTATACGTGACTTGCCAAATGAAACCTGCCCCGGTTATTTGATCGGTCCATGTCACAACGGTTGTAAAAGCCATAAATAATTATTTCCTAAATCGGAAAACAATTTCTGACGACCCCAATACGATTTTTTTTTCTAGAAACGTGAATCTGCGTTCCGGTAATAAACGCGAAACGTCAGAAGCCCCTAGGCCCCGAGCACACTCACCGATACAATTAAGTATCAGAAGAAACAATTATTCTTAATGTTAATTTTCATTTGAACACTTATTACAAACCGTAAACGTAGATAAGTCTGAACTAGTTTGCTTAATTGTTTAATATAAGTTATGAGTAACTTTTAATAGACGAAATATTTTTGTAAAACTCAGACTAAATAGTCTACTTGAAAATAACAGTAAATCAGAGTATGTTTGACTCATTTACTACGATAAGCAGTCGTCTATAAATTTCAAATTCGTCGTACAATCAGCGCAATAATATTGCATTTCCATAAGAACGAATATTGTTCTTCGATTAAAGGCAATAAAGGCGTAAATTAGGTCAACGTTTATTTAGAATTAATTGCCTACCGTAGTTTGAATTATTGAAACGCCTGTTTATGAAAATAAATGAACTGTGCGAATAACTGCCCCGATGTTATGGTCAACTGTGAAGATCCTTTATCTCTAAGTATTATTTTAAGATATATTAAAAATGCAGACACATTCAGAATGTCATTGTCTCGTCGTAATAAGAACATTAGCCGTTAAGAACTCTGATCATAAATAATGCATCAATTAGTTTTATTTACGGAATAATTTAACTAGGCTAATTTAAAACGAATTATTAAATTTTTGTGGTTTTCAGTATGTACTAGGTTTTTTTCATAAATTATCGTTGCTTGACTTAAACGAACAATAGAAAAATTGCTCCAACAAATAATATATCAATTAATTGTGGTAATTTCCAAACATTTTTTAGTGTATTTAACTTCGTTTTCAACTGTAATAAGAATAATGCATCGGTTTTTATTACATCATACGTGATTCATTTATTTTTGTAACCTCTTTTCTGAATCATAATGCATTCGTATTAAATAGTGATTTGAAAATGTTAATAAATTCCTGTACTAGCCATTACCATTATTTTCTTTTAAACACAAAACGGTAATATTTGCGTTTGTTCGCTTTCCAACTTGCACACATAAATTTAAATTTAATTAAATTTATAAAAAGGTAGTCTAAACATTATTTTCCTAACACAGCTAGCCTTCTAAGATCAGTGTAGGAAGTATTTTTTTGCACTCATGATCTTTTTTGATGGCTTTCGTGCATTCACCAGGGTGCGGGAGTTCGAACTTCCCGCACACGTGCATTTTAACTTCCCGTTGCCATGGTAACCTTAAAATACTCGCGTAGTGTCAACATTGTGATGTGTTGACGGCGCCATTGTTTATAAATAACTCACAGTTAATTTCTTCAGTTTAAAGGTTTATTCGTTGCAAAAAATATTGTACACAACACGTTCGTGAGCCTGCTTCCCGCATTCACGCAAATGCGGCACTCCCTTCGGTCGTGCCGCAAACAAGCGTTCATGCGGGAAGCAGGCTATCCCGAACTAGTTGTGTAAATTACTATTAAAGCAAGTGGGCTGAAATTGTGCAAAAATGTTTATTTATATGCAGTCTCTCGTTAATTTCGTGGCAAAGCAAAAGGATATATTTTTCATTGGATCATATTAATAAAACAAAATTTTCTCACTGAGAAGTGTTATTTTTACTTAATTTCTCTTTCGCATATATTTTTCGACGGAAGACTTGATCATAAGAGTATTAAGAACATAAAATATATAGTCTGACAAAAACTAAATTTCATTTTTAAATCTAACAACAGATTTATGAAATAAATGTAAAAGCAATAAGATAGAAAAATCTGGAGTATTTAGTTTTTTTCTGGTTTTAACTCTTTCGAAAGGACAAGATTTTTTTCTATGTCTATAAAAAAGCAGATTTAGCGGTCTGCAGTTTTACAACAATCCTTATACTATAAGATGTCAGTATTTGAAACTAGATATACATAAAATAAGTTTTTCGAACTAACCATTTTTTTTTAAATTTGTAAATTTCTTATTATTAAAAATACACATAAAAATGAAAATACAACTCGCATAATTTTTATGTTTAAGTGCTATCAAAAACTATTTAAATTGTTGTGCACTTTTTCTTTATTTTTTTTTAGTGTTTGTTTTACGCAGTCATACATTGTAGGTAAAACTTGTTTATTATCTTTTGAAATGGTACTTGTAGTCACTTGTTTATTATCTGTAAAATAAGCACTATAAATAGAAAGTAGGGTCACCGTTTAAAACAAAAAAATCTTACAACGTAGGCCAGCCAAAAATTTTCAGGTTTAACCTGTCTGTGGATTTTATATACGTTATCGACAGACTGCACAATGTGATAGCAAAGAAACCTATTGCCTGTTTACGAGGTAACTACGTTATAATTTCTAGTGGTGCAGTAACATAATAAATAAAGTAGTAGGGATAAAGAATAAAGAAAATATATTTATAAAATAAAATGGGAAAAAAATTGTTGCGCAATTGTTTATCTACCTATTTACTGTAACAAATCCTGCTTTTAAGTCTACGAATGTTAAATACAGGCTGATTCAGAGCATTACTGACGCATTATACAAGCTAAAAATAAGTAAATGATGCTACTCAAAGCATGGTCAATTCTTTAAAATATGGCTATCGAAGAATCTTAAAATTTCGCAAATGATCAAAATTACATTCCACCTTGAAAAACAATTTTTATTGTAATACCTTAGGTGTTACCAAAGAAATACGTAATAATGGCATCGCCAAAGTAACTCGGCTGCTACAATCAAGAAAACCATGTCTTTTTATGGGTATTCAAGCATTTTTTTACTTCCCAAGCGTAAGCTAAGGAAGTATAGTAATCGAGTCCATCGGCCGAATTGCCACTTTCGTATTTTCTCGACGTGTCATGACCTCTGGAATACGAAAAAAGTGGTCACCCGTTTCCGTCTGTTTGCCCGTCTGTCTGTCTGTAGGTCTTTAACCATTTTTATTAGACAAGTAATCTCCGAACCTACTGTACCGATTATTGTCAGATTTTGTACGTATATTAGGAATATGTAGATGGTTAAACTTGCAAAAGTTTTTGAAACTGCAAAATCGATTGCTCTGAAATCTTGTAAATATTTTAAAGTTGTCGTAATCATGCTAAATTGTTGAGAAAAAATTATTCGTTTACCCCGTCTCAAAAAACTGACGTCATCTCATAATTTTGCCGAATAAATTCTATTCAAAATGTGCGAAATATGATCAGTCTATATTTGTGATTTATCATTGCATTAAGAGTTTTTAATTTTTTTATACAGAGTGACTCATAAAAATTAATGAATGAGTCAATTTATTTTATTGATTAAATCGGCCACGGCTCACTCTTTCTGGATATACGTGTCCTTGCAAAAATGTTGATGACGTCATCAGAAAATTGTGTAAAGAAAAAACTCAACTCGAAAATGCTAGATATCTTTCACTGTAATTCAGGAGCGAGGGAAGTTCTGCCGAAACAACTTTCGAGCAATTTTTTTGTTGATAAAATTAGTGATAATCGAAAGTAGTTTTGATAACGTAAAAATTTTAAAAATTCTGTACCATCTCTATTTTTGAGAGATGGTCATAGTTTTACGAGAACTTTTTACGTAGTTTTTGCCATATAATTCGCCATTAAAATTATGCAGTAGTGCTGTGAATCACCCTGTATAACGTTTCTATATAAAAGTGCTAAAATATAAAATA